ACTGGAGAAAGTAGAACAGAGGAGTGGCCCCTTAGCATGTTGCAAAGCATCTGTCCTTTTGGAAGGCTGATAATGAAGAAATTTCTTGTGGATAATTAAGTATATTATGAATTTAAGATGATATTTTATTTGACTCCTCAGCATGAATGACCCTGTTAAAAGTCAGAAGTCTGAATAACACATTCACGCTTCTGATTTATTAATGCATGCCTAGTGCTTCTCAAGGCTACTTAGGGCATCATTGCAGCATGAACTAGGCAGAAAATGTGATAGGTATGCACATAGGGATTTGTCAGATGCAAATGTTAAGTCAGTCATACAGGGGCATGCATAAATGCGTGTTTATGCTGCCAGTGTGGGTAGAATACTGCTAGTCAATATAGTCCATTATTAGTAAATGTATCTGCCTGTACAACTTTGATTCTTGCTAGTCATTGTAAGTACTGTTGTCTAACCTTTAACCTGTTCTGTCAGCCTGCAAAACTGATTTGCTCAAGTGGATAGCTATTTTACCACCCTTTTGAAAACAGCTGTTCTTTCAAGACCTTCATGGCTAGACGTATTTCATTGTGCAGGTCCTGATACAACCTTCTAACCAGAAGAACTTGACTAACCCATGAAGGCCTGGGGAGGGAACTACCTGCTTTGGAAGCATGTTCAGCACCATTGCTGTGCTTCCGGTTACAACCTCATCCTAACAGGCTGTATTGCACCTGGCAGTAAAAGCTTCTCTTGTCCTTTCCTGGCCTTTCACATGCTAATTTGAGGTTAATATTTACATGTAATAACTCCTTAAGCTGAATCATGTACTTGCAGTATCGAGGGACAGAGAAAGAGCACAGGCTGTGAAAAGAACAAAGTATTAAGAGTGCTGAGCAGATGTTTAGTTTATCTGGCTTGCCTCTCTCTGACTTTTTCAGTGTCCCTAACCTCTTCTCAGACAAGCTTTCATCAACATTGAGGCAATTATCTTTGCCTGCTGAGGGGAAGAAGTCTGTCATTGGGTGAGGGTTATTGTTCAACCTTTAAATCCCACGATGGACTACAGCAATAATGAAGATTCTCAAGCCCCTGTGCACAGGACAAAGATGTGATCATTAAAAGTAGCTACCATGTTGCCACCCTCTGCTTGAGTAAGGGATAATTGTGAAAGCATCTCCTCAAGGGAAACTGAATGTTGCTCAACAAAACTATTTGGCATATGCTTCAAGTCTTGCTAAGAAACAGGTATTTCAAGGATGACTTGCCACTACCGATAGCTTTCCTTTGTAAGAAGTTCAGAGAAGACACCAAAAGCACAGTTGCCCAGCTTGAGAGAGTAGGTAACAGGTATGTACTTCAAGGCCTATGTGTTGAGGGCTTGAAATGGCCTTTCCCTGAGGGGTGATCAGTATTTGCTCTTCTCAGGATAGTCACCATAGGAGAGGAGGAAGGTATTATAAATGGTCTCTTAACAAGCCCTTTCTGGAATAAATTGAAAAGTGCATGAGTAAAACGTGGTGTGTATCTACTGATACAGACAAGAGTTTGGGGTGCTTCTGTGGTCTAAGACTTTTGAAGTAGTGCATTTAGCATAGTTAAAATGAGTCATACAATTGTGTAGTAACTAGTTAAGTTGTGGTGATAGCAACAGACTTATCTACATGGAGAAGATTCAAAAGCCATCACTAACAGTCTACTGGCGTAGTTGCTGTGGAAATGATCATGTTCTTAACTATGCCAGTGTAACTGTAGGCATGAGTGTCCTTGCATAAAAGCACATGCATCTCTAACCCTGCCATGCTGTTGGCTGGCTCTTTTCAGATGAACTCAAGAATTCGAGCATAATAAACCAGTTCTAGTCTCTTGTTTCTTTACTTCTGCAGTCTAAGTAAGGAAATATTAAGAGATCAAGTACTGTGAAAGGAAGTATCCAAGCAAGAGCAAGAACTACAAACAGAAGATTTTTTAACTTAGTTACTTGCATGTAGAGCATACCAGCACTTTCCGTGAAGGTAAGCCAAACTTAAGTGTGACAAAGACCTTGCACAGCTTTAACTTGGGTCTAAAGCATAGAATATACAAATTTAGTTGTGATTGAAACTCTTATACCACAAGCAGACTAGATTACTCCTAGCTCAAGCAACTTACTGTTGCTCCCCACTCCAATGAAATTTCAGTGTAAAGCCTAAACCAATTTTATGCTAGTCTTGTGGCTTAACTAAGATGTCAAGAAGTTATTTAAAATATGAACCTGTATTAAGGCAGGCTTTGTCTAACCTTGCATTCTTATTTTCACTAATTCTCCAAGTCCAGAGATGTGATTCTCAGACACTGAGTCCTCCAAAGGTATGACAGCTAGGAGAGTGTGTCCTGTAAACTGGACAGAAAGCTCTTGCTAACCTTCTCAATTGCATTACTAACTGAGAATGCACTTCTCCACAGTAAGATGGGGTATTTGCAAGGCTTCAGCTAGTCTTGTGTGTATTCTTGCCCATCTTCCTCCACCCTGGGGTCTTGTGCTGTCTGCTTCTGTACAAATAAATGGCCTGGCCTCCATAGGGTGGAGGCAGATGGCAATAATGGAGGGATGACTAAAGTTTAAAGATGGCAACTGCCCATCTGGATTTCTACCATGCAACATCTGCCAAAGTGAAGTTTTACTTGTGCATATTTGCTCCTCCCTAGGTTATTTGCTTGTTACTACCTCTTAGCTTTACTTCAGAGTGAGGTATTTACTGTGGGTGTATAACACCAGAGCTGGGTATAGCTCTACTAACTAAATTTGGGAAGCAGGATCAGTGACAGGCAGGACTCAGTGCCTTGAGAGAATTATTTCTTTCCAGCATGGAGCTGATCAGAGTGTCCTAAAGCTATGACTCAGCTCCTAGAGAGCATGTTATAGCTCTGTTCTTCTCCAGGCCATTTCATTCTGTTTTCTGAACAGTAACCTTCCAGATGGGGGTGGGTGGTTAACCAGTGATTCAACCTAACTGTGTCTTTCCTTCCTCTTTGTTTCTGAAGAACTTGATAAATCTAGGGAGAGGGTCATTATGCTTAAATCCAAAGACTATCTCCACCCAAAACTATATCATTGGGCAAACTAGTCTAGCTTTAAAGTAGAATTTGTTTGGCTTTATTTTATCTGCTTAATGTGTGGCTTTCAATGGGCACATTCCTTTTAGCCATGGTGTAAGTATCCTGTAAAAATTCCTGTTGGCTGTAATAGTTTTCCCCTTGCTGCTGTGTCAGAATGAGCATACAAGCTGCCCTTCCAGTGGTAACGTTTCCTAAATAACCGTAGCTTTCTATATCGACTCTTCTGCTAACATCTAGTGCTACTCAGAATCACTCAAAATTTTCTCAGCAACACTGTGTTCTGTATCTGTGGCTCTGTAAACTTGTTTACAGAGAAGAATAAGTAAAGATGCCATATGAGCACTTTTATCTCTGATTTACTTGAGCAGCGCTAAATGCAATTCACAAACCATCTGGTAAGTAGCTAGATCTAACTTTGCACATGCTAACAGCTAGTTCCCTGAAGGCCTCCCTCCTGGCTAAATGGAAATGGAGGCCTTCAGGGTGAAATTCTCTCTTGGAGACCTAGGAATTTTTGTTCTTCCTAAGCTAAGAATCAGTTAAGCATTGATATCCATTACTCTCAATGGCAAGCTGGATGAGTCAGTTTGTAGCTATTGACTTAGTAATGAATTGGGGGGTAAAAGGGGAAGGCAGGAGTGAGAGCACAACCCTGAAAGTAGCTTCCACGTAATGGATAAAGCATTAGCTGTAACTAAGGCAAATGAGGAATAGGCTATTGCGAAATACAAGATTCTAATGCTAGAGGATATGTAGTGCTTCAGCACTTTTATCTGGGTACACAGTGTGTGTCAAATGGTGTGCTGAGTAAAAGGGGTGTTTTGGTGTCTGGCTGCTTGCTGGAATATAAGGGAAGTTACTAGTAGAGGGTAGCCCAGCTACTTAATAATCTGAACAATATCTTAGCTTCATTTGTCACCCTAAAATTAAAGGGACTAACTGAAGCTACTGCAATACCCCAAACAGAAGACTCATAGAACAGTTTCTGTAGCAAGTGTGAATGTCCAGTTCTTTTTGGTTGGGTGTAGATGATCTTCAGAAACTCCATACAAATGATATGAGTACCTCTGTTTGGTAAATATGAATCAATGCTTCAGCTGTGTAGGAACAAAACACAGTAACTGCGGGATTGTTTTTTTTTTAATGGCTATTGTATCTCAGAGGCAAAAGGAGCTCATGGCTATGACTAGTTGACTAGTTGTCATACTAGCCCATAGCTTCTGTTTACCTGCAGGGGTTTTCTTAAAAACAAACAAAAAAGCTAAGGTGACTCTATTGGTGTTAAGACAATAGTGCAGGGCTTTGGTTTCAGGTGTTGTTCTGGGGGGCTTTTTGTTTTGTTGGTTGGGTTTGCATTATGTTTTTGTTGCTGGTTTGGGTTTTTTTGGTTGTTTTTTTTCCTGGAGCAGTCTGTCTGCAGCCTAAGGAATTTATTTGCTTTTACCTGTTGGGTGGTATAGCCTCAGATTTCCATTAGTTATAGAAACATGAATAAGATCTAGTGGCTTCTTTTGGGTGTTCTGGTGTCATCTTCATGGGTGTTTGAAGCGGATCCTAGCAAATATTTCTTGCATTGTCTCCTATCCTACTACAGAGATGCAGCTAGCAGTGCTGAAGGAGACTAGAGCAAAATATCTGAGGTTCTATAAATAGCTTTAAAGGGTAAAAAGCTAAAAGTTGACAGATTAAAACAGAGTGATGCAAGTACAGCCTGTAGATGTAGGTCAGTGTGATCTACTGATTAGGTATTACTGAGGTGAAGGTTCATCACCTACTGGCCATAACTTCGTGTTCTCTGTAGCCTGACATTGAGTTGGACTTCCTGTATGATCACTACTGAAACTTCCAGGCATTAGCAGTCTCTGGTGTCCAGCAGAACAAAGCTAGACTGACAGGTTTAATAAGAATATTTCTTTCTCAAGGTAAAATGTTATGTCTGCCTACCAATTGTTGTTTTGATTTTTAAAATCTACAGCAAGCATACCTGATCACCCTCTCATCATGTCTACTGAAGCTGAAACTACAACTACCAACAGCCAGCCTGAGCAGCAGACTCCACCAAAAGCACAACCCTCGAAGAAAGAAAAAAAGAAAGGTAAGAAATACGTGCCTTTTGAACACCTCTTCCAGTCAGTATCCTTAATCTTTCTTTCACTTGCCTAAAACTAAGATCACTCTCACACATAGTTTAACTTGGAGGTTTCAAGCTGATCGTAAAAGTCAGTAAATAATCTAGTAAAATTAATCTAACTGAAAGGCAGGATTTAGCTTGAAAGGGTTGGGTTTTTTTTTTCCACCTCTAAGTTCTAAAGCTCTCAGTTCCACTTGTTAAATGACTCATTTCCTGAGCCTGAGAAGTCACCAAGAGCCCAGAGAAGTGAAAGCCTCCTGGGGAGGTGACCAGACCCAGGACCATCCAGGTAGCTGACAGACTGAACCTAAACTTACTTCCTTCCAGAGAGGGAGTGATGTGTTAGATACGGATACAGACTCCTGTCCAGAGAAGCTAGACAACTCATTTCATAGGAATTATTGTAGATCCAGATTATTTTTTTAAAATATTTTCATGTAAATATAGTTACCTCATAGAGAAATGCATGCTGAGGTACACAGAGCATGTTGAGCATGCAGAGATGAAAAACAAGCAGTTCTGAGAAGTGATGGCAAGAGCTGAAATAGTAAATTAGCTAAAAACCCAATTTGTTACAGGGATGGGGGTACCAGGACTTGTTGCAGAAATAATGGTTATGATAAAAAGCTTTAGCACAGGAACTAGGAAATTCTTGCATACCAAGAAGAGACCTGACTACCACGGAATTAGGTGCTAACTTCTGAAAGGCATATTGAGCATCATGTATAGCCATGGAAAGTACCATTTCTGCTTGATTTGTTTTCCTGAGCACTTATATCTATTTGGCTGTTGCCTATAAATGTTTTGGGGTATTTTTTATGTGGCAAACAAATATTCTAAAGTCCTCAAATATTAAGCACTGGGCTTCGTGCCTTGAACTGAGGCCAGATTCTACAAGAGTACAGTGACCTTAAAGGAGTAAATATCTTGCCATGTACATGATACTGGCAGGACTAAGGTTTTTTTAGTCACCTCTACTCAAGGGACAGTTTTAATATGTACTTATATGTTGGTTTTGTCTATGCTGGGCTTGAAGTTCTTAAATATGTCTTTTTAAAAACAAAAAAAAACCCACAAGTTTTTCTCATTCCAGGGTCAGAAAAGACAGATGAATCTCTCTTGGCTAGATTCAAAGGTGATGGTATAAGATACAAAGCTAAACTGATTGGCATTGATGATGTCCCAGAGGCAAGAGGAGACAAAATGAGTCAGGATTCAATGATGAAGCTGAAGGTAAGGGCTTGAGCTGGCATGTCAGGAACACCTTCTGAGTAGCCTTCAAAAAGCAGATCAAATGATCACTTTGGCACAAGCTCAAATCCAGCTTAATGGTAAAACAGTAAAATAACAGCACATCCTAGATGCATGTTACTTCTAAGGCTGTAACCCTTGCTCAAAGGGTGGTATTTCTCTAATAGCTTGGGAGTGCTCCTTTGGTTCTCTTGTAGGCATCCACTACGGATGTTAATAGTATGAATTTGATCACAGTAAGCTTGGGTTTTGGATGGGGAGGGAGGAACTGTGCAATTTAACATTGACCTCAAAGCACAAATTGACATCCTATGGCAATACTGACACCATGAGATACAAATAAGCCAAAGAATAAATGAGATCGAAGCAACAAAAAATTACTCTGAAGTGCTTAACATTTGCATAGCTTCAAGTGAAGCTGAGAAAGCTCATAAAGGTGCTGCTAGTGCAGCAGTCTAGTGAACTAAGATAAGAAGTTTTAAAGCTCTAAAACATTTACAGGGGAAACATAATCTAGTTCTGAGGTATTGCCTCAAACCTAGTCAAGCATATGTTGTAAGAGGAATGCTGCTCAAACTTGTACAGTTGCATAGGAATAACTAGATTAACACTAGTAGGGTCACAGCCTTGGGCTTATAGGGAATGTAAGGGACAACTTTAAACTCAGTCTAACAGAAGTCTCATCAATTCTTTGATATTTATCGCTTTTAGGGAATGGCAGCGGCGGCCCGTTCCCACGGTCAACACAAACAGAAGATCTCGGTGAACATCTCCCTCTCTGGTATCAAAATAATAGATGAGAAAACGGGGGTAAGATATGACTGACTCTCTTAGTGTGATTCTTAAAGCCTGTGAGGTGCTTGGAAGTTAGACCATCTGAACTAGATTCCTTAATGGAATCACGTCCCCCTTTCTGCATGTGAAAAATGGCTTGTGAAATGGCTGGTAATGCTGAATCCTCCTGCCAGAAAGATAGCTACATCTTACATCAAAGTCTGATAAATGAGTCTTGAATAGAAGCCTTATAATGGTCTCAGTCATTTTAATTACAGAGAAAAGCAGCTCTTATGTCTCTAGGAATCTAAATGGGGGTTGTTTGGTGTTTTTTTGTTTTTTTGTTTTTTTTTTTGTTTCTTTTCACCTCCTCGAATTCTAGGTCATAGAGCATGAGCATCCAGTAAACAAAATCTCCTTTATTGCTCGGGATGTAACAGACAATCGTGCCTTTGGCTATATATGTGGAGGAGAAGGCCAACACCAATTTTTTGCTATAAAAACAGCTCAACAGGTATGCATAAGAAACCCTTTTCTACTTGCTATAAGTGATGCTATTGAGTAAACACTTAACGTGTGATAACAGTGTAGTGTTTTGCTGGTAGCCCTATGAGGTACAGGGGAATACCAGCACAGGAGAATAGACTCTTCTCCTAGAGGAGGGCAGTAGGAATTTACTGTGTTACCAATGGCTTCTATCTTGTTCATCTTTTCTGTAGTCCAGAAGAAAAACACTCAAGTAGCCTTGCTTACTATAATTAACCTTGCTTAATTTGTCCATGCAGTATGGAAGTCATTAGTGAGATGAACAGGAGCCATTATCATGGGCTTTCTTGTACAGTGTCCTGTTACTCTCAATGAGAATGCTAGTTCTTGAGACAAATAGCCGAAGATTCACTCAGAATTAACAGGAATTATGTTAGAACTCCTCTAGTTTTATTCACATGCTGCTTTATATTGCACAGCAGTGAAAACAGACTTACTCAACTGCAGTGCTGTTTCTGGGGCCAGCAAATAGTAGGTCTGGTCTTCCTGGACTTTCTTTTGGGTGGGATTGTGATCCTTCTATGATAAGCTCTTCCCTATGCAGAGATCCTGTATTCAGGGTTTGTCTCTCTGAAGAGAATCTGTACATAAGCAGTATCGGAAACAAGCTACTTGGAATTACTGCTGGGTATTACGCAGCTTCCTAAATGACGTGAACTTGTTAGGTATTTACAGTTTATTAGCTTGCCTTATAATGTCTTTATTATAGTCACTATCATGACTTGATGAGCCAAGTCTTCAAAGCTAGTAGTATCTTCACAAACATCCCTGCCTGCCCTCCTGGAGAACCTGTTGGCAGCTTCAGGCCTGTTGCAGGCAGAACTGAGGGCCTCCTTTTTGGAGCATGTTACTACTTTAGTAATAGCTGTAACACCTTTTCTTAAGCCTGTTTTATTAGTTTGAGTCCTGTGTTATACTGGCTTCACTGGAATTGCAGATTAAATACAAAAGCCTTCTATGTGGTTCTCTGGAGTGAAGTCTGTTCTCAGAGCTTTTCACCATGGGGTGCTACTTGCCAGCCTATAAGCTTAACCAAGCTGTAGACAGCTCTTGACTTGCTGCTGGTTGGTTTTTAACACAAACTTGTCTAGCTGGGAAGTGAGGACTTCTGCAGCTCTAGACTTCTGCAGCTGTAGTTTGTCAAAGTTGGTCACTCTTCAAATGGCTTTCCTAGCAGTTGCATGCCTAAAACCCTCGACTAGGGAAGGATGGTGCACAGACATACACAGTGAGATTTGTTCACCAGCTTCTCTGCTTGAGCCAATGGTAGTGGTTGAAAAGGTGAACTTGTCCTGCTCTAGACACTGACACTTGCTATCTGCCTCAAGCAAAAGTTCCAAATCAGTACAGCTGAACCTGCCACTACCTCAGTAATGACTCAAAACATTCTTGCCAATGGGTGTGCAGGGAATGCAGTGCCTTTCTAATTCATGCGAACTTGTAATCTAATTCACACCAAATTGTCATTGTGATGCAATTACCACTTAAAGCTGGTATCTTTTCTATGTGTTTGAGGTAATGATAATCTTACCTTATGCTTGCTTTCCTTATTTACTAATTGCGTCCCGTTTAAAATAATGTAGTATTAGCTTTAGAAGCTTTTGCCAGGTTCAGTGTTGGAGGTGGTGGGAACAGGTGGATGCAAAATGTTTCTCCTCTCATGAGACTACCAGAGGGCTTCGATAAACTTTGCACTTTCAAGGAAATAAGATTAGAAATTGCCATGCACTTATATAATCTTGTGCTACAAACTTCTTAGCAAGAACACAGCAGGCGTAGAACAAACATACAGCAACTTTCCCTGTGTAGTTAACAGCAGTTTTAAGTTGGTTGTGACCTATTACCCTTGAATTCTACGTAAGCTCTCTTGTATGTAGACTAGACAGTCCTTTAAACTCTTGCTTTTCCTACCCTCTCACTATTGACGAAAGTTCAGCCTGCTGCACAGCTTGCTTTAGAAGTCCAGGGAGAAATAGTACATGGCCTAAAAGCTATTCTTTTTCAGGCTGAGCCTCTAGTTGTTGATCTTAAGGACCTCTTCCAACTGATATATAATATGAAGAAGAAACAAGAAGAGGACAAGAAAAAGGCAAGTAAAATTATAGAAAAAACATTAGTCTGCATAGAAATAAAGCTTGCTTCATCTTTGGCTTGGCTATTGGGCTCTTGTTAGACTTGACACTGAGATCTGCCTAAATCCAGGATCACTTGAAGTTATTGGTTGGTAACTGTATCATCAGTTTAATTACCTTCTACTCTCCAAAGTGAGAGGCTTTGGGTATTCTGCATAATGTCTGGTACTAAAAGCCCTCTTTTCCTCTTTAGAGTGAAGAAGCAGATAAGACTGAGGTAGGTCATTCCAACTTAGCCTCACTTGTTAAGGTATGCTGCTGCAACACAACAAGCTTTTGACTTCCTTTACACTGCCAGCATTACAGAGGCAATGTGAAATGCCCATTTACATTGAAATGGGAGTAAAAGGGGCCTACAGAATACTGAATAGTGACCTCCCTCATACTTCCTCTTTCCATCACTTGCTCTTTGAAGCTTGCAAGTCCCTTGCTTAAGGCAAATTTTGACAGTCCAATTATTGCTGACATCGTTATCTATCTGTTACAGAGTGGTAGTGAAGCACCACCTGCTGATCAAGCTGACAAAATGAAACTGGTAGGTTAAATTTTAGAAGTTCATGCTGATGCCACTGAGGAGTTCATAGTTGACTGCCTCCACATTGTATGAGGGTTGCGATATTTATAGATGAGTTTACAGTAGATGTGCATAGTGTTTGACTCTTGATCCTGCAAGAACTCTAACGAATACCAATTCTTTCAATATTTCTGGCTTCAAGGGAGTTGACCAGATGGACTTATTTGGGGATATGTCAACACCTCCTGATATGAGCAGTCCCACAGTAAGTAGGATCTAGCTTATCTTTCTTATATTTCGCTTTGAGAGCAAACTCAGTCCTAGTAATAAGATCTGGTTTTACTTTGTTAATCCTGGTTTCTGCTTTGACTGAGACATCTGTCTAGTTATCTGTGTACTAGTGTCTTAGCAATATAATAGTATCTACTTGCTAACTAGACTAGCTAATGTCATTTTTATCCAGCAGAGCTCACTTGAGACTGCATGACAGACATAATACTGTATTATTAGTCATAGAATCATAGAATGAATTTGGTTGGAAATCCAAAAGATTGTCTAGTTCCAATCCTCCTGCCAGGGACAGGGACACCTTCCTCTAGACCAGGTTGCTCCAAGCCCTGTCCAGCCTAGCCTTTAAACACTGCCAGGGATGGGGCAGCCACAGCTTCTCTGGGCAGCCTGTTCTAGTGCCTCACCATGCTCATAGGGAAGAACTTGTTCCTAATGTCTAGTTTACATCTACTCTTCTTTTAAAACCATTACTCCTCATCCTATCACTGTACTCCCTGATAAAAATGTCCTTCTCATCTTTATGGACAAGTGAACCCTAAAGTAAGTCCCTTGGAGCTGACTTCTGGCCATTCTAGATCAGTAGCCCTAGTTCAAGATGTGGCTTAACTCCACAGAAGTGTGCATAAACGTTGTCATAGCTCAGTATGACCCCTGAAATCTTACCAGTTTATTCTGACACTGTAAGACACTACCAGCTATGATACAACTGGTGCTGTCAAGCCAGCTAGTGACTAAGTCTTTACCCTTATACTGCCTGCTTGATGGAGAGATGGCATGTTAATATCTTCCACTGGGAAATAGCTCTCCAATTTTACTCTGAAGCTGAGACTGCAACTTGAAATCTCACTAAGGCAGTGTGATTTCACAACTTGTCAAAGCAAGGGACTAGAACTCAAGAGTTCTTGACTCCAGTGAAAGCTTAGGTGCAATTAGTGCTTGATGACTCTAGTCTCTAGTCCATAGAACAAGCATCTGATGCTTAACTAAGTGATTTTATAACAGGTAGTTTCAGAACCTCCATGTTAAAAGCAAGTAGCTGTGACTTGATGACAGCCAGCAGTGCTTGCCTTAATGACTTACAAGGTGAAGATTTAGTGCAACACTGAATGCTTATTAGTATAATGTATTGGATACTAGGTTCTCTCTTTTTGCAGCTGTTTTCCTTGAATTTATATACTATGCAGCAAGTCCTACATAAAACTAACTCTGTTTTTTCTTTCTGGACAAATAGGAAGCTAAAGAGGTTCTGTTAGTGGATCTAAATTCTGAAATTGAAACCAAACAGACTTTTACAAAAGAGGATCTCTTCTTGAATGGCATCACAACCTCTCTTCCACCACCAAAGCCACAGCCACCCTTCTTGCCTGAGAGTTCTTTCTCTACCAATCTCAGCTTTTTTCCTACACCTAATCCAGACCCTTTCAGTGATGATCCTTTTGCACGGCCAGACCAATCTGCACCACCTTCATTTGATTCTCTAAAATCTGATCAGAAGAAGGAAAGTTTGAACACCTTGACACCAGTGTGTAATGGTCCTTCAGATGGTGATATTGACTACTTTGGTAAAGAGTTTGACCAGATCTCTAATAGAACTAGCAAACAAGAAGCCCTAACATACCAGTGGCCACTTGAGAGTAAGTCACCTGCAGTGAAAACTCCAAATGGGGTACCAGAGACCAAACAGAATGGTGCCCTTAAAGCCCTGACAAACCTGTTTGTGGAAGGTTCTTCCAAAGGATTATCTCTGCAGAATGGAATAAAGCTGGATTCTGAAAGCAATATGCATTTCATGTCACATGAGCCCATAACAATTAGCCCACCACCACAAAGCACCAAGCCAGGAAGAGGAAGGAGGTCTGTCAAGGTGAACCATGTTCAAATAATTAATGGTGATATGCATGCTGTTACTCAGAAGCTGGGTGAAGGAATCTTTTCTTTCCTTATACTGTGTATCTATCTGGCTAAATAGCTTCACAGCACATCTACTTCTTTTCTAGCTACTGTGCTTACTCTAACATCTCTGTAGCAATGGTACATTCTAACACTTGTGAATGTTTCATAGTAGCTATGGTCACTAAATTATATACTCTCTTCCTTAATGCTGCCGTACTTCTGTAAAGGTCTGTAAAGGTAAGTATGCTGCTGTATTCATTAACACTTCATATAAATGCTGAACCTGTTAAGATAGCTGTATGTCCATCAACCTGTGTTTCATAACAATGAGGTATGAATATTGGCTAACAGAAATCTATATAGTTTCTCAGCACCTCGCTGCTGAGGGCAATCTCAGCAACTTGCTTGATAAGACATAGGTTGGCTTTTGGTCAGCTGCATTTGTCTTGCACTCAAATGATGCAAAACTCTGCTGCTAGGCTTGCCACAGCTGCAGGGGTCACTACAGATTAAGCAGGAACATTTAGAGGGGTGGGGAGCAGAGGGAAGCTCATTATTATAGCAAATAATTCAGTCCCTTTAAGTCTTATTCTGCTGTTGACTTGTAACTCCTATATATTATATCTAGTTAATGCCATGCATCTCGGTAGGCATGAACCAAATGGTGAAGTTTGAAACTTTAATGCTTGGTCTCTAAAGGATACTCCAAAGCTTCCATCTCTGCTCTCCTTGTAGCTCTGGGCTGGTGGGTCTTGATCATCTAGCATGTGTTCTGTTATGCCATCTCACTAAGTTGCTTTTTTTTTTTTTTGTCTTCTTTCCTTTCTAGAATGCATCAGATGACTTATTTAGCTCAAACTTCTTTGTGCCAACTACAGAGAGCCTTAGCTTGACCTCAGTGGCACAAACAGGACCTGTGCCAACTAATCCCCTGGACCTTTTCAAAACAAATCCTACCACAGCACTTCCAGTGGCTGGTCTAGGTTAGTTCACAAGTGAAGGTCTTGTTCCCATCTAAGATATCTGCTAACACCAAAACAGGGGTTCTAGTTTTCCTTTACTTTAGATGTAGTGCGGTGCCCTTTAATCCATGTGCTGTCTGCCTCAACTATTAAATTCTGCAAATAGAGGCATAAACTCTGCGTCCTTAACTAGAGCAGCATTTTTTGCTTTAACTTTGACAGATTTCTGCTTCAGGTGCACAAGGTTCAAGTGTGCCTAGAACAACTTGGGAGGCGAGGGTGACAATGCTGCAGAGTTTTAGTAATCATTTGCACAGAAGTAACTATACAGCAAATGCATCTATCACTTCTGTGCTACGACTATATAATAAAAGTTCCTTCTTTTATTATATCAATTTCAATTCTATTCCTCCATGACTGAAATGGAGCAAACTAAAAAATGCTAACCTCCTTCTCTCCTCCTCCCCAAATGACTTGATTTTTGAGTGTAAACCACCACATTTTTGCAAACAGTACATGAAAAACGTTTTGCTGGTACCCTCAGTGGAATTGATACTCTCTTTGAGGTCTTCTGATATCTGAAGTGCTGTATAACAACAGTCTCTCCCTCCCCCCAGGTGGCATGGCAGTAACTTCACCATGGAGTGCACAGACAACTGCCTTCACCCAGGCTGGCTCAGTCTTTTCTGGGTCTGTGATGCCTGCTCAGTCTACAGGATTTACTCAGCCATTTACCTTTGGCACTCAAGCAGTGCCAAGCTGGAGCCAGCCTGCATCTTTTGGTCCAGCAGCCTCTCAGCCCTCTGGCCTCTGGGCACAGCCAGCACAAATACAATCTAATCCATGGGCGAAGCCATCTAGTGCTGTAAATCCCTTCCAGAGTAGCGTGTTCCCATCTTCAACACTACCTGCTCAGACCCCATCTGTACTGCCAACAACAACCACCAGCCCACCTCAGCCACCACCTAGAACTGTGCCTCAGAAGGAGCTTACCAAGAAAGAAAGTGATGCTTTTATTGCTCTGGATCCACTTGGTGATAAAGAGATGAAGGATGTCAAGGAAATGTTCAAAGACTTCCAGCTGACAAAGCCACCTGCAGTACCAGCAAGGAGAGGAGAGCAGCAAAACCTTTCAGGTGCTTCTGGAGCTTTCAGCAATTATTTTAGTAGTAAAGTAGGCATTCTTCAAGATAGTACAGATCATGATGACATGGAAGCTAGCAAGCTCTCTGCTAAAATGACTGGTAAAATATTTTTTTTCTTTGGATGGCTGCTCTCAGGGATTGGGATGACTGATCGCTGGTCTTTTTTGATAGAACTAAAAATTTGATTCCATGATTACTGCAACAGGGTTGAAGGACTGCCTCCCTTAATAATGTTACAGAATTGATCAATGTCGGTGGTCAGACACTGACACCTAGTGCCTAAACTATTTGAATAGAAAAGGTAAATTAGGTCCATACAATGTTAAAAGTCCCATGTCCCATCTAGCTTAAGCATCATGAAGGACAAGCAGGAGATAAAATTGTGAGATCACTCAAAGCAAATTCTATGCGGAGATTTTTGTGTACCTGATTAGATAAGCTTTGGTGTTGCTTAGACAGAGCTGAGGACTTGTTAAAGCTTTTAAATGATTACAGCAGTTTGTCTCTTCTCCTTAGAACCACCAAAGCCTGTTCCCCAACAAAGTGTGCTGCCTGCTGATGTCCTATTTGAAAGTCAAGCTAAAACAGACCTTTTCAGTACCTCATCTGTAAGTAGTAACAAAAAGCAAGCAAACAAAAGAAACTAACTCAAAACTAACCCAGCCAACCTTTCTGTCCTTAAGAGGGGTGTCTGTGTTTGACTGCTGGCTTAGTTCTGGCTTTAGGCTGTGGAACAAAATTTCTTGCATGTGTGAGGCTAATAATTAATCTAACACAGGGCACTTGTGCAAGAAGGCAACAAAGTATGATTCCATTTGGCTTGGGTCCATAACCAGTTCCCCACATTGCAATCCCTAACAGGAATTTCTTCAGTATTGGGAGCTTCAACAAATGACAGTAAAATCATGTAGCTGCAGAAGTTTTCCACTTTGATTATACTTACCTTTCTGTGCAGTAGACTAAGCAGTGCAGACTGAAGCTCCCTTGCTGAACAAATGCGAGGGTCCCATGTTCAGTACCCGCTGGGGATAGAAGAGGCTTAACCACGTCACTTCCTTTGGGACAGAGCACTTCAAGCCCTTGGCTGGAAACTCTGGATCTGTTCCTGAATGCTGTCTTAAGACATTTAGCATTTGGTTAAAATAGATCTCATCATAACTACACTGGCTCAACTCCAAATAAATGTTCAGGTATGACATGTGGCTTTTCTGAAAGATACCTTGACTTAGACTTAGATAACTGCTAACATGGCTTTGGAGCCCTTTTCTCTTGTTAACACAGTACAGTTAATGTATACTTAGCAAGGACTCTTCAGTATTCTATCCAGAAGGTGTTTGGAACAGGAACTAGCTGATACAGCCATGCAGAATAAACCTGGTGAAACCTTGAAACCCACTAATGGCTGGTGATCTCTTTTTTTTTTTTTTTTTCTCCCCCCCCCCCCCCCCCTCCCAGAGAGAATCTGAGAAACCACCTCCTGATTCTTTTGATGATTCTTTTGGCAACCCATTTGCATAGATAAGGTAAGTCTATCACTAATAAGACAACCTACTTCATTCTCTGAAGTTGATTTGTAAAACCTTTGGTAAAGAGCTGGCGAAAAACTACTCTAGCTTAACTGTAATGCTTCTCTGAAGTGTGATAAAAAATCTCTAGAAGAACACTTCTGCTAGAAACCCTCTACTCAGACTTATGCATAGCTGCAGCCAAGCTAAGCCTAGCCAGCTTTTATTTCTTTCTCAGAAATAAAGATTTATTCTTCCACAGATTTAGGTTTCAAGGCCACAGCAGAACTCAATTTTTCCCTTGAGGAAAGTTAATGAGTAATTATGTACTGCAAAACTCAGAGGGGCTGACTAAATTCCTTCGGATACCTCTCTAGGAGAGTGTTAGTACACAGCACCCCATACAGATTTCTGAAGCTTAATCCCCTGAATAATTAAAGGTTTGTACTCTGGGTGAATTGGAATAAAAACAGAATAAGGGCTCTTGTGAGGGCTTTTGCTACTAGAAACTAATGTAACTCCAACTTTTGTACCATTGTCTTGTGAACATAAACTGTGAAACCAGAAATTCTGTTTTTCTGCCACACTTCTGTTAAAAGCCAGACAGTGTATGAGGGGAAGATTTGGAAGATAAGTGTTGCTATTTATTGCTTTAGTTTTGTTCTTCGTGGCTTTAAGCAAGTTTAATCAATAAAACTAACTTATAGCTATCCTAACCCTAAGTCCTGTTCATCATACTAGGTATAACCGGAAAAGGACAAACAGAATAACTGGATCTCTTCTCAACATGATTTTTCTACGTTTCACTTTGCTGTCTGCCACTCTTGCTGCTGTTCCATGATGTCTGTAATCTAAATACATCCAGGTGGATTGAAACACAAACTCTCAAAGAACATGCTGTGAAGATGATAATTCAGGGCAAAGCAAATGGAGAGCTGGACTTCAGTTTGACTTGTGCTGGAGACCCAAATGCAAATTGGTGGATGCTAATTTTACTTTAGTTCTTTGCAATCTTCCACAGAAGAGCTTAGGAACACTAGGTCTTATAAACACGGTCACTGCAATTCTTCTTTCTGTAGCACTTACTGTCCTAAAACACAGGAACTGAATGTACCTGGGGAAGAAGTGAAGAAGGGAATTGAATTAGTAGCTAAAGTTCCACACCTTAAACTAGGTCAGCTGCCTGTTAACACAACAGCACCCAGTTAAGTGGATACTACTGAGCTCTAATTGGTGACTGGTCGTATGACTTGGTCTCTGAGCCAAAGATATAAACTGTATGGAAAGGAAAAATAATAAATCTAATACTTGTCTGTTTAATGGTAAAATTATCATTCTACCATGAATGTTTAATAAAGGGACTAACTATGGGGTCTGTAACAGAACTGTGGGAGTCCTGGGTATTAGAAGTCTACACTGTAGGGTCAGATAAGCTGAAACGCTTCTTGCAGAACATTGAGGTAGTCATGGACACTAACTGTTCTGTTGGTGCTAATATGGGGATCTTTTTTTCAGAGAGGGAAATCCACTAGGATTACTTTTCTATGAATGTGGCTTGGCAGACAAATGGAACAAGCAGATAGGCTTCTTGCATATATCTCAGTGAATGTCTCTGATGTTGCTCAGTTTCAGTTGTCATGGTGCAGTGTGGCATATTTCCAGTATGTTAGAAGGCAAAAAGACAATCATGGCTTCACACCAGGCCTAGATTCCTTGTGAACAGATCTACCACTTCTGTGCTGTTAATGTGGGGTAGTCTTCCATTTCTTAAACTGTGCCTTTTCTAAAGAACCTCTTGATTAACAGATCTCTAGGTCAGTTGGTTATAACTGACTATAACAGCTGCATTCTTGGCCAGTGGGGATAGCTGATGTGTTGGAAGTTTTTCTGATAATAGCAAGTATAAACTTGAAATAGTGTTGTTAAATCAAATGCCTAATCAGCTGCTGAACTGAAGAGCTAAGAAAGTCAACTTGAATACAGCCTTAGTACCCAATTCAGCCAGCCATGCAATAGTCTTGTATATAAACCTCTTGCACTTTCTGTAATGCAAAAAAGCTATGAATTTAAGTGTTTGTCTCAAACTGGAAATGTAGAAACTTATGGATGTTACACTGCTATATAAAACTGTAGTATCTCAAGTGATATTACCTAATGACATTAAACAGAAGCAACTCTTCATATCAAGTGTGGCTTTTGATTCTGTTTTCCATAATTCAATTTTATGGTTTACTTGACATTGGGAGTCCAGAACTTGCTAAGAATTTTCTCACACGTTCTAGCTATAGCTGCCTGAGAGCAAGTTCTTAAGTCTTTCTGCAACTTCTTCATCAGGCCTGTTCCACAGGTGTTTTCCCACAGTAAAAAAAAATAAATAAAATCCCACTTAACTTAGTAAAATGCCAGTAGAAGATTGTCCTGTAAGTTCCTCAACCTGAGTTTGCTGTTACTAAAGATGCTTTCTTGTTCCCTTTTGCAGCAACCTGGAAGCCAGCTCCTTAAATTGCATTGCCTTAAGAAGTTTCGCTAATTCAACTTGTCTATTCCAGCTTTGCAGGAGGTCTAAACAGATGTGGGGGACACTGAATTAGAACATTTAGCACTTCTTCAGAACAAATTTTACAGTTCCTTGCAATGCAGGTCGCTGAAAGGGATTAAATATATTAGTTACTGGTTTAGATTAACCTTCAGTACTTGAGACTGACCTGTAACTATCAGCCTAGTGTATCACTGAATAAATAGAATGGGTGCATGCTTGCTTACTTTTTAATGCTGTTTGATTTGTGTGGTTAACAGATTGAAAACAATTCATTGAAAGGCAGTTGGTATCCAGCTTGAAATACAGGCCTTATGCTTCATAGAGATTCACTGATTTCCATTTATAATTCCCCCCTGCCGCGTGGCAACATGTAACTTAGTACTCAAAGGTACTATTGCAACAATCGGCTGTCTTGGTGCTTGAGTGAAGGAGTATGTTTACCAGTATTTGAGTTAAACATCTAAATGACCATTTGCTTGTCAAGCTAAAATTAACAGTCCATCTATGCTGGAGTTTTGAAATAGCTGTCAGGATGATCACTAAGAGCTGTTCAGCAGTACCTCTTACAAGCTGGCTAAAGATGCTTGCTCATCTGCAAGCTTAGTTTGAATAGAAGTTTACTCTTATTTTTGTCTCTGTCTTAAAGAACCATGAACTGTGGTGGTGTACATATAGCATCCACTGAAGTAGGGTTGATGAAACAATACAATATTGCAAGTGTTTGTGTCTTGCATTATTGCTCAACAAATTAGTGCAACTGGACACATTAAGCTGGGCTGAGGCTGCATCAGATTTAAGTTGCTCTAAATGAAATTATCTAAAAGTAAGGACTGAACAGGGGAAAAAATTGTCTGCACTATTCCACGCCATCCCCTCTTCCTGCCAAACAAATCAGGGGACAGAAAAAGTTCTCTTACCTGTTGTAATTTGGAATATTCTTATACTAGATAATTTTTTTTTTAAGCTTGCATCCAGATGCTTATTAACTGCTAAACAGTAGGTTATTTATGAGTTACTTCTGTCTTGTGACTATGTCCAACACATTATGCCTTAAATCTGGATTACAGCAAACTACTGAATAGGAATGCCCCTCTACAAAGCTAGCTTGTGGTTTTGGGTTTTGGTGACAGAGTGAAAGCTTGAAGAGTTTTAGACTCCCTCATAATGACAAAAAATCATGTGTTGTTTTTTACATTGCCTGGGGGAGGAAAAAAAAAGGGGATCTTGGGAGTTTATTCCTCTAACACTCCAAATGAGGATTCCAAAAATGTTAGACACTGAACTTGCTCTTGTAAACAGTAATGCTTTAGGAACTATTTGTTCCTTAAATGAGTCACTGCTATGACTACTTTTTACTAGGCAGTTAACTGTTCTTTAATTAAATAGAAAATGTCTTTCCCATATTAAAAAGTACTAGTAAACAAAAATGGTTTATTTTTTTAATCTTGAAGCTACTTTACACTATTTCTCAGTGTCCATGTAGGAAGAATTGGAATTTTCTGAAAAGTGGACTTTAGAGCACTTATCGTAAGGCAGCTTTGGCCACTAACTGGCAGTCTTCAGTACACCCTGCTTTTTGTTTGTTCTTTTGGTAATAAATAACAAAAGGAACAAATAAAGTGCAAATTCAGTCATGGTGATTTTTGTCTATTTATCTACAAAATGAGAAGCATGCATGTTACCCTACAGCTTATATCCATACTATGCAATTTAGAGGTGGCTGCCTCACTTTTGGAGGAAAGCAGAAGGTAAGTGTGTTTCATTTTCTGCGGATACTTGTACTGTTTCTTCAACACAAAGCATAAACTTCCAATTCAGATATTTCTAATGGTAACTTGCTCAGTTAACAAAAAAAAAAAAAAAACTACTTCTTAACTGTATTTCAAGGAGTCAAATAGAAATGGTTTATCCATCTGTTGTGGATGTATGTGGTACAATAAAAATGACAGCAGCTGAAGTCATGTTCTGGGGGGAGGTGGAGCTCAGCCAACTGCTTTCTATTGCATACCGAGTGTGAAAATATAATCGCAAGTGGTTTCTTTCTGAAGTTGCACGCTTTTATGTTGACAGTACTTCTACTCCTGTTTAAAGTCTCCTAGACTGCCTATTTCTAATTCTTTGGAAATATAGCCTTTGTTTTTTCACTGTGTCACTAGTAGGAGAAATAAAGGCTTAGTCCATATGAAAACATCTGAAGAGCTACACACTACCAGAACTAGAGCTGCCAGGTCTATATGTCATTTAGGAGAGAAGTCAGTACTAATTGGTGAAAGAAAATGAGTCTCTGATATATGCATCAAGAATAAATGGGTATCCATCTGCTTTAAGACTTAAATTGCATTATGTGAAGCATTTTGTGATTACATGTTAATGCTAGCTGAACAACCAAGATTGTCTCTTGCACATGTCTCTAGGACTCCTTATGTTTTGATGGTTATTGTTATTTTGGCATTCAGATCCAATTAAAGCACCGG